ACATTCCCAATCATAGTTATTAATGTTGTGCACTGCTGTTTGAGCTGCGTGTGCTGAGCTAAAGATGATCACTGGTAAACTGAAGCGCTCTTTTAACTTTACCAAACGCATTCTATATGAGATACATCAGATATACATCAAATAAACACAATATTACAATGTACAATTGCACAAAAGGCTGCAAACGAACAGCGCGCATCTGAAGTGTCTCTGAAGGAAATAATGCATTATTTATCGGCTTTAAGATATCGGCCAAATTTTCTTATCAGGCCGATACCGATAACAGAAAAAATTAGCATTTATCGGCCGATACCGATATGGTGGCCGATATATCGTGCATCCCTAGAAAAAAACAATAGATTCTCCATTTCTGATGCATTGTGAACTATAACGCAAGTCCAGGGTTCTCATAGCATGTCTTTTATGTGTTTTTTTGAGAAATCAAATACTGCCATACTGCCGTAATACTTCTGATTGTCATGTCTACTTCATATATATTGAGAAAAGTATGGAAAAACATGTTTCAGATCACTCAAACCATATATGGAAATGAAGGCGCCTTTAACTCTTTCCCCGCCATTGATGAGTTATCTCGTCTTTTACAAGAAAACACTAAGACGAGTTTTTACGGCTTTCCATGTCTTCACTGTTACACACTCTGGGGCGCTAGTATGCATCTTCTGAACGAGTACAAAACCTCCCGAACAAAAACACACGTGCACAGAACGGAGAAACTAGCGATCTCTTATGTAAACAGATGCATATGAAAAATAATGCGATAATAGACAGCATATAAATGAAAACTGCATAATGTTACGGAGTAAAATGTTGATCCAGGAAGTGATGTCTGCAAGATTTGGAGGTGTTGATGGAAGCAATTTACTGGATTTATGCTTTGATATTCGTACTGAATATTATCCAGATGTAGTTTTTGATAAACATTTGATTTTCTCACCTTTTTGCTCAGAATTATAAATTTTTATGAAAGCCACCTATATTCAAGTGTTGATAAAAAAGATTGTTTTAAGCTAGAATAAAACTCTCGCTGATCTTTATTTTGGTGTATTGCATATTCAAATATTAATACAGCAAAATATACTGGAGGTCATCAAATTTGAGTGAAAATCATCAAAATCGCTGGCGGTGGCTGGGAACCTTTCTCAAAGAATGCTGGCGGGGAAAGAGTTAAATGGTTACTAATGGGGTTTGATGGTCATCTAGTGGAAAAGCTTGGTACTACGTCCAAACAAAATCTCACCGAAAGCTCCTTTTTTGAGATATCAACCTCAAATTTGGAACATAACGCGTTCAGAATTTTGATTTTGATTTTCTAGCAGTTTTACAGTAAAACATGTTTCGTAAAATATATATTTTATATAAATATTTAAATTATTACATTTTATAATTTCATAAACTTAAACTTGTTATATAATCTTTATAACTTTTTTCACTTCTGCAATAATCTGCCAAGTGTCTTCTTTTAAAAGAGACCAATCTTAAGTCTGTGGTCCAAAGCATTCAAAATGGATAACAGTTTAAGTTGGAAATCTGGTCTACGCTCAAAAAGTGGAATCGACAGTTAACAGGTTAAACCTGATTCTGTTCATTTCTCTCTCTTCTCTGTCAGGTGTGACTCGAGCCGAGACTCCGGCGACGGTCCGGAGAGTGACCCATCCTCCGCTGCGGCGTCCTTTAGCCGACTCCGCTCTGCTCCCGTGTGTGTTCACCCTGCAGGCCGCCCTGGTCCCGGGACACGGCCCCTTCATCCACTGGAGCCGCGGCTCCGGAGCGCAGGAGAGGACGGTGCTGTCGGCCCGGGACGGGGTGGTCAGGGTGCACCAGGCGTACGCGGGTCGGGTCAGTCTGCCCGGATACTCCGCCAACCCACTCAACGCATCACTGGCGCTTTCCCAGCTCCGCTCCAATGATTCCGGGACTTTCCGATGCCACGTCGCCTTTGGAGAACATTATGAGCAGGATACGGTCAACCTGGAGGTCACAGGTGAGATCCAAACGGGCCGGAAATCATGCCGTAATGAACTGGACTGATTTAATATTTAATTATTGTTTGTACAGTAAACAGGTTGTGTGTGTGAGATCATGAAGACTTGAATTTGGCTTATTCAGTACTCAAATGTTATACCTATCTATGCAATACAGTGGAATACTGCAATAAGTTTAGTATACGACCCCTATTAATAATTTTTTTTTCATTCAAAAATCATTTTTATTATTAGGCTATTATTATTATTATAGCTGAAATTAAAATGAAATATAAATATTAGGTGAGTAACTTTAAGGTAAACGTTTCTAAGAAAATTTGAATGAAATGAACTGAAATAAGTTTAAACTGAAGTACTAAAATTAATAAAACTGATATTACAGTAGATAAAGTCTATATAGAAGTATTTTTAAAAAATCTTTAAAAAATATTAAAAAGGACTAAAGCACATAAATTGCTAATACTTAAACTAAAATGTAAATGAAAACGGAAAATATAAAAATAAAAGCTAATGCTAAATATTAATAAATACTAGTATACTGAAAATATAATATTAAGCCTAGGAAAAGTGCAGTAACCGCATCTTTAATATGTTAAATCATATTTAATATCAAATCAGCTCCTGTTCATAAATAATTATTAATACAAACTCTAGCTCGTTTACAATTTTTAAGGCAGTGTTATTTCTGTATTATGTATATATATATATATATATATATATATATATATATATATATATTATAGTGTAGAGTTTGTATTAATAATTATTTATCAACAGGAGCTGTTTTAATATTAAATATGATTTAACATAAAGATGCGGTTACTGTACTTTTCCTAGGCTTAATATTATATTTTCAGTATACTAGTATTTATTAATATTTAGCATTAGCTTTTATTTTTATATTTTCCGTTTTCATTTACATTTTAGTTTAAGTATTAGCAATTTATGTGCTTTAGTCCTTTTTAATATTTTTTAAAGATTTTTTAAAAATACTTCTATATAGACTTTATCTACTGTAATATCAGTTTTATTAATTTTAGTACTTCAGTTTAAACTTATTTCAGTTCATTTCATTCAAATTTTCTTAGAAACGTTTACCTTAAAGTTACTCACCTAATATTTATATTTCATTTTAATTTCAGCTATAATAATAATAATAGCCTAATAATAAAAATGATTTTTGAATGAAAAAAAAATTATTAATAGGGGTCGTATACTAAACTTATTGCAGTATTCCACTGTATTGCATAGATAGGTATAACATTTGAGTACTGAATAAGCCAAATTCAAGTCTTCATGATCTCACACACACAACCTGTTTACTGTACAAACAATAATTAAATATTAAATCAGTCCAGTTCATTACGGCATGATTTCCGGCCCGTTTGGATCTCACCTGTGACCTCCAGGTTGACCGTATCCTGCTCATAATGTTCTCCAAAGGCGACGTGGCATCGGAAAGTCCCGGAATCATTGGAGCGGAGCTGGGAAAGCGCCAGTGATGCGTTGAGTGGGTTGGCGGAGTATCCGGGCAGACTGACCCGACCCGCGTACGCCTGGTGCACCCTGACCACCCCGTCCCGGGCCGACAGCACCGTCCTCTCCTGCGCTCCGGAGCCGCGGCTCCAGTGGATGAAGGGGCCGTGTCCCGGGACCAGGGCGGCCTGCAGGGTGAACACACACGGGAGCAGAGCGGAGTCGGCTAAAGGACGCCGCAGCGGAGGATGGGTCACTCTCCGGACCGTCGCCGGAGTCTCGGCTCGAGTCACACCTGACAGAGAAGAGAGAGAAATGAACAGAATCAGGTTTAACCTGTTAACTGTCGATTCCACTTTTTGAGCGTAGACCAGATTTCCAACTTAAACTGTTATCCATTTTGAATGCTTTGGACCACAGACTTAAGATTGGTCTCTTTTAAAAGAAGACACTTGGCAGATTATTGCAGAAGTGAAAAAAGTTATAAAGATTATATAACAAGTTTAAGTTTATGAAATTATAAAATGTAATAATTTAAATATTTATATAAAATATATATTTTACGAAACATGTTTTACTGTAAAACTGCTAGAAAATCAAAATCAAAATTCTGAACGCGTTATGTTCCAAATTTGAGGTTGATATCTCAAAAAAGGAGCTTTCGGTGAGATTTTGTTTGGACGTAGTACCAAGCTTTTCCACTAGATGACCATCAAACCCCATTAGTAACCATTTAACTCTTTCCCCGCCAGCATTCTTTGAGAAAGGTTCCCAGCCACCGCCAGCGATTTTGATGATTTTCACTCAAATTTGATGACCTCCAGTATATTTTGCTGTATTAATATTTGAATATGCAATACACCAAAATAAAGATCAGCGAGAGTTTTATTCTAGCTTAAAACAATCTTTTTTATCAACACTTGAATATAGGTGGCTTTCATAAAAATTTATAATTCTGAGCAAAAAGGTGAGAAAATCAAATGTTTATCAAAAACTACATCTGGATAATATTCAGTACGAATATCAAAGCATAAATCCAGTAAATTGCTTCCATCAACACCTCCAAATCTTGCAGACATCACTTCCTGGATCAACATTTTACTCCGTAACATTATGCAGTTTTCATTTATATGCTGTCTATTATCGCATTATTTTTCATATGCATCTGTTTACATAAGAGATCGCTAGTTTCTCCGTTCTGTGCACGTGTGTTTTTGTTCGGGAGGTTTTGTACTCGTTCAGAAGATGCATACTAGCGCCCCAGAGTGTGTAACAGTGAAGACATGGAAAGCCGTAAAAACTCGTCTTAGTGTTTTCTTGTAAAAGACGAGATAACTCATCAATGGCGGGGAAAGAGTTAAAGGCGCCTTCATTTCCATATATGGTTTGAGTGATCTGAAACATGTTTTTCCATACTTTTCTCAATATATATGAAGTAGACATGACAATCAGAAGTATTACGGCAGTATGGCAGTATTTGATTTCTCAAAAAAACACATAAAAGACATGCTATGAGAACCCTGGACTTGCGTTATAGTTCACAATGCATCAGAAATGGAGAATCTATTGTTTTTTTCTAGGGATGCACGATATATCGGCCACCATATCGGTATTTAATGATGAGACCTTTTTTTGTAATCAGGCTCTCAAAAAGTATATAACAATTTGGATATAGATTTATCGGCCAACATATCGGTTATCGGCTTTCAAAAATAAAGAATAATCGTTATCGGTATCGGCCAAAATTTTCATATCGGTGCATCCCTATTTTTTTCTATATATTCAAAACACTTTTAGACCTTTTTTGTCTCAAAAAATAGAATGGATGTTATCTTTTGAACACTCTCCATGAAAATGAATAAAGATTTTTACTGATTCTTCATGATTTCATATGTGCATCACTATTTCAAAGTAAAGGTCAGAACGCACTCTCTGACTCGGATGAGTACTCTTCTTGCATATTAATAAATTACAGTTGCTCTGTAAAATATTTCAAAAATCAGTCACCAAATATCAAAACTAGAGTCTTTACGCTTTCAAACAATATATAGTTTGTCAAGATTACTTTAGGTTCAGACTCAGATATTACTGTTTAAAACATGTAATGTTAACAACGTTTGCTGTGTTTCAATGATTTCTGGTGTCTCAGGTTAATGTTCAGGGTCTATAATTACCTACAACAGCAGAATAAAACAATATCAGTGCTATTTTAGTATCAGAAAATGTAATTCAAAATATTAACAAAAATTATATATATTTTTTACATTTTATTTTTATTTTAAAGTAGTTTTAGTTTTTTTAAATACTGTATGTCTATATAGTTTTTATTAATTATTCTAGTTATTTTGCTAAATGAGCAAATGAAAAATGAAATAAAAATAAAAAGTTTGAATACTAAAATTACTAAAACTAAAATAAATATGGTTTATTTTATTTCAGTTAAAGTTTATTTAATTTCAAGTAATGAAAATGTTTTTCATAGTTTTAGAGATTATTAATTATTCGTTTTAGTTATTTTACTAAATGAGCAAATGAAAAATGTAATAAAAATAATTTGAAGTGCTAAAATTACTATAAATTTAAATAAATAAATATGAAAAGTTTATTTTATTTCAGTTAATATTTATTTAATTTCAAGTAATGAAAATGTTTTTCATAGTTTTAGAGATTATTAATTATTCGTTTTAGTTATTTTACTAAATGAGCAAATGAAAAATGTAATAAAAATAATTTGAAGTGCTAAAATTACTATAAATTTAAATAAATAAATATGAAAAGTTTATTTTATTTCAGTTAATATTTATTTAATTTCAAGTAATGAAAATGTTTTTCATAGTTTTAGAGATTATTAATTATTCGTTTTAGTTATTTTACTAAATGAGCAAATGAAAAATGTAATAAAAATAAGTTTTACGTACTCAAATTACTAAAACTAAAATAAATATGGTTTATTTTATTTCAGTTAACGTTTATTTAATTTCAAGCAATGAAAATACTTTTTATGGTTTTAGAGTTTATTAATTATTCATTTTAGTTATTTTACTAAATGAGCAAATGAAAAATGTAATAAAAATAAGTTTTACGTACTCAAATTACTAAAACTAAAATAAATATGGTTTATTTTATTTCAGTTAACGTTTATTTAATTTCAAGCAATGAAAATACTTTTATGGTTTTAGAGTTTATGAATTGTTCGTTTTAATTATTTTACTAAATGAGCAAATGAAAAATTAAATAAAATAAGTCTGAAGTACTAAAATGACTAAAACTAAAAGAATATATAAAGTTTTTAAAATTGTATTTCAGCTAACATTTAATTTCAAGCAATGAAAATACTTTTTATGGTTTTAGAGTTTATTAATTATTCATTTTAGTTAAGATAAACTAAATGAAAATGAAAAATGTTGCCTTGACAACTAGCTGAAATAAAATAAGTCTGAAGTACTAAAATTACTCTAAATTTAAATAAATATGAAACGTTTATTTTATTTCAGTTAATGTTTATTTAATTTCAAGTCATGATTTTTTAAATGTTTTTTAATGAATTACTCATTTTAGTTATTTTAGTTAAGTTAAACTAAACGAAAATAATACATTTTAAATAAAAATGTTGAAATACTAAAATGACTAAAACTGAAATAAACAAATAGATATAAAATACAAATAAATATAATTATAAATATAAAATATTGTTTTATTTCAGTTAACACTTCTTTTATGTCAAATAAAAAATGTTTTATGCTTTTAGTTTTAGTTCATGATGATAACCCTGATTTGACTATTGGTTAACAACATTAACCAAGAAGCCGTTTAGTCCAGAAGATGTCAACTGAAGAGAAAAGTAGTTGCTTGAGTTATTATATTTTGATGAAAGATTATGAAGACAAAAATTTCAATGCGAACATGAGTGTGATTTAAGGAAGCAAATAGGACCCTTTTTTATTTTACATCAAGAGAAATTCAGTGTATTTAGGTGTAAAGGAAAAGCCCAGTTCACTGTTCCTCACAAAACCCAGCAGATGATAACAGCAAAGGCCTTTGTAACGTCCTCAAACACAGAACACACATGAATAATATTTGTTCTCCAGCCTGAGCGTCTGCTCTGGATCTCGCAGCTCATTAAATCAGCTGAAAGAGATGTGAGAGGAGTAACAGAAAGATGAGCTGTGAAGCTTCAGCTCCCAAAATGACGCTCAAGTGAGTTTGTTCTTTTAACAATGGGAGAGATTTCGAAATGAAAGATGCTGAACTTCATCATATTTTCCCACATGGACACTGAGAGACGCTCTTATGAACTGGATCTCAGTCTGATGTGTGTTCATGTGCAGTATCTGTCAGCAGCTTCACTCTCATTTCTTCCCAGTAGATGAATCAGAATAAACACGAATGCACTGTACAGTAAATACAGCAGGAACACATGCAGTCAAGGCTTTGTTGTCTAAAAGCTAAGTGCATATGTTAAATGCATAATTGCAAAATGTACAAATGTACAGAACTCTAATGAATTAAACCAAAGAAAACAGCTGTAATTTGAACATGCATGATGCAACATCATTATTCAGTCAATTACTGGAAAATAACACGTTATAGTTTACGCTCCAGGTTATTTATAACTCAAGTATGGACAGCAGTCGGCATGTTTTCAGTCACCAGACAATCATTTCAACCTCTTTCATTATCCAGCCTGTAAAAAAAACATTGAAATTGTATTTACAGTAACAGAAATTTTTCGTGCAAAGAGTGTTTAAAATCTGAAGCTTGTGTTTTTATTAAAGATGCCAAGTGAAACTTCATAGAGCAAGTTAAAGATGTACACTATTGTTTAAAATTTGAGATTAGTAAAAATGTATACTTTTATTCAGCAAGGAAGCAGTAAATTGATCAAAAGTGACATTAAAGACATTTATAATGTTACAAAAGATTTCTATTTCAAATAAATTCTGTTCTTTTGAACTTTCTATTCATCTGTGAATCCTGAAAAACTAAATGTATCACAGTTTCCACAAAAATATTAACTGTTTTCAGCATGGATAATAATCAGAAATGTTTCTCGAGCAGCAGATCAGCATATTATACTGATTTCTGAAGATCATGTGACACTGAAGACTGGAGGAATGATGCTGAAAATACAGCTGCGCATCACAGAAATACATTACAGTTTAACAGAGATTCACGCAGAAAACAGCTAGTTTAAGCTGTAATAATATTTCACTGTTTTTACTGTATTTTTGATTAAATAAATGCAGCCTTGGTGACTTATTTAAAAAATCTGACAGAGATTCTATCACAGCAATC